ACTTTTCTTCTTGTTGGTTCTTTTCATTTTCTCTTTTCTTTCTCAGTGACAGTAGCTGTGTTTTTTATTTTTTTATAATAATTTTTGACATTTATAGTTGCAACGGATTTTATAGTTTAACCAGGAAAAAACTTTGGCGAAGAAATTAAAACAAGCTGCCGTTGTACAAAATTTGAAGACATATACGAAACAAACAGAATTTTTTTTTTCTAAATGTCATGAAATGCGGACATAATTTACAAGTGCGTTTAAATTAAATGCTAGAACGATAAAAATTAACATTAACCTCATTTCAAGGTGCGTTTATATGATTTAGAAAATATTAGCATTCAATATTTCTATGTTGGTCATCACATATTGACCTTCCTATACAGTTAGGGATGAAATAGATGGAAGAAAGAAATCTTATGCGTTTCCACTGAACCAACAGAGGCGTTAATCAGATTGATTTTACAGATGTAAGAGCGTCATTAGCGGAAAAAGTTCGACTAGTACATTTATTACGGGGAATTGTTGAGGAGATATGCAAAAATAATATACGTATTTACAAAACAGATTTTGATTACTTCTCGGTATTATTCAGGCCACACAGACTTCTCAATGTATACCGAACCCCCTCTTTTTATCTATCAGAAAAAGATTCGGAGGTATGAACACAGATCTGATTTGTTTATATTTCTCTTCAATTTCTATGTAAAATGATGAACTGTGAGAAAAATTATCCATTCATTAAAAGATGAAAGTAAACGTTCGGTACATTCTATCCTTATGATCTGTTTGAAAGAAAACACTCATTCTCATCAACACTATAGAAGTGTGAAAACCTGGAAAGATGAATTGTAAACAGTGCTAGCACCGGTTCTGATGACGGCTTCCGTCGTCTGATATTACTTTAATTATACATCTCCACACAAGACTTCATTTAAATGGAACCGTATAATTTTCGCCGTCTTTCTCCTTGTATCAATTTCTACAATATTTAGACTATTCCCTTCACTAGTCATATTTAAAGACTTAAGAAATAGCGTCAATTTTCTATGTAAATAAAATCAAATGCTTCTGTAAAATTTTCCCTATAATTGAAGTGGTTTAAATTAAACAGTATTTAAGTTAAAACGCTATCGAATTTCATTAATTTATTCTTTCGATTTTGTGTTCCATATTAGTTGAAATAAAGTGTCATATATTACAGCGATAATTGAGGTTTCTCAAATCACACTGGTTTGACTTTGACAGATTATCGTGAGGTCACATGATCATGGATAGGACTGTCAGTTCCTCTTGTAATACATTCTGTCGCTAATGTGTTATTTAGAATTTTATTTTACCATTCAGTCTTTATTTGCCTGAGGGTTCTGTCAGTTGTAACAACCCCCTGTGCTGTCATTCGTCCTCATGTATTTGATTATTTTGAATACTTTGTTTGAACATACTTTTAAAGTATTTTATTTTTTATTTGATATCTAATTATTTTCTTATATAAAAGTTGATATGTCGTAAATACGAATATGTTCCAGTAAACCCATTTTTTTTTTGTTTACTCCCAACTAATTAGATCAAAATCCAAACTGGCAATATTTAAGTATAGCAAGGGAGGTAAGCAGTGCTAGCTTAATTGTTTGCTTCAAATCTTTTGAACGTTTCGTTTTCGTTATTTGACGTATTCTATCCTTTAAATAAGACAGTTGGTGAGAAGAGCTCCTTTCTTTAATCATGATAGGAACTTTTTTCTGTAAAAACATATTTGATTTATCCCTTGTGGAAGTTGATTACTCTTTTTCAACTTTCCTCAGTAGCAAGGAAGAACGAATAATGATATTTCACTGAAATTAACCCGCATCGATGTCTTAGACCAGATTCAATATAGATAAGAACCAAAAAATATTCGAAGCATTATTTACCTCGAGACTTTTAAGTTAGTTTTTGGCATGACAGATAACTCAGAATAATGGCCGAATGCTGCAATAGACACTATTTTATCAAGACTATCTGATTACAGTCAAGAGATTTTATTAAATTTATATCTGTCTAGATAATACTTAATTCTACAGCTTCTTATCAGTCCGAGTGTAATAATTTACAAGAGAAATTGAGTCTAAAATTGAAGTATCTAAGAGCTTGGTCATAATTACAAATCAGTCAGATAGTAGGATGAAATATAATCTATCAGATGACCCAAACAAGATTGTTCTCTTTTCTATCAGGCTATTTCGTCGACATTTTGTATAAAATTTTTCAGTAGTATTAAAATTTGATGATGTTTTGCTGCTTGAATATTGATGATTGTATCATTATCTTTAATTCGGAAATAAGCTACTATTGATTTCTATAGATATCATATTACATATTAATACTTTAGTCTTTTAAAAGGCAATAATACCTAGGTCCTAAGTCAATATGTTGTTTAACCAGCCCGTATCGGTTTTCTGGAAACAATAGCTTCAATGTAATGCACTTTACACAATAAACGACGATCAGCTTACCACTGAGAAACCTATCCTCCCTAATAACAATATAATTTACTCTGTGGTGCTTTTAGAAATATTTAATGACTTTTTGTCATCAACACCAAAAACACAAATCATCTTTTCATTCTAAATCGGTTAATTTCTTTTATTGCTTTGGATCAAATTTGACTTAATGTCCTTTTATAGATGTTTTCAAGTTACAGAGATAAAATAATACTTGTAGGATTTGAATACTACATGAAAATAATTACTTTGAAAATAAAATATGAGAAAATTTAAAATATGTTAAATTTTTTATTTCCATCGAAAAAAAATGTTTTATTATTTTTTTAATATATATCGAGTGTCTTGTTTGTTTATGTCATAAGAGTACTGTAGGAACACATAAAATTTGTGATTTGACTGAAAGAGTCGTAAAAGAAACAGAAAAAATACAGCATATCAAATTAAACTATTGTTAGAGCAAGGATATTATTTAAATTTAAACATTCGTGCCTTTTCATGCCATTTAATTTATTTGAGGATAAACTGCTATAAATTTGTTGATATTTGTGTGCGCGCAGTGATCCATGAAGACTTCCTGTTGGTTTTGTTAAGGTAACCATTTTGTCGGACAAAAGTTTCAAGTTAATCATAACCTGATCATACTCATCCAGAAAATTATAATTACACTTTCATTTTACCTAGGGGTGCTGAATAAAATTATATATAAATTGGATTGACATTTTTTCTAAATTTTGTTTTATTTCAAGGATAACAATTTTTTAATTAAATATTTTTTTTTATCAACAAACGGAAAAAAAATATTCGTAAATACATTCAAGAAAAAAATGAACCTGATTTATAAATTATGCCATGGACCTTTATCAGAAAAACAAATGTGTATTGAATGATAAATAATTTGTGCGGGATTGTTTATCTAAATTAATATTGCAGTGGACATGGTATTGCCAGCTGAGTGTAGATCAGGTTACATTGGTGTCGTGTTTCTCTTTATTAGCTGAAACATATGCTCCTAACATCTGATACTAATTGCACATTTCTTGTGAACAGTAACGCGTTTATTTCACACCGAGGTGTTGTGTACTTACCACTTATATCAAACTCGGGGCGTTTGTAAAATTATAATTTTATAATTTCAAAACATTTTAGTTTTAATCAAGGATTTATAATACAACCGTCTAAAAAATATTTATCATTCTTTTAAATGATAAAAACATGGAAGTGTTATTTTTCTAGACCGAAATTAAATTTATGTAGTCTCTTTTTAATGACAAAAAATTTTTAAAGAGTTATATTTATATATATTTCAATAAAAAGAAGGTTTTTCGTTTTTATATATTTTTAAATAAATGAGTTCAGGATTATAAAATATATATAAAATTTGAAACAATCTATTATTTGCTACAAGCATGAACGATTTTGTTTTATCAAACATTATATACCTAAATGGTAAAGTTTATTTAAAATCTTATTTTTTAACTTAAACTCAGTAAGAAAAAGTAAATAAAACATGTACACCCCTCTGTGTTAAAGAATTGTTGAATGTCAGTACAAATAACGTGTCACTGATGTTGACACTGAGACTCCTGCTGGTATCAATCTGGAGATGTGTCTTTATACCCGGGGGTCAAAGCTTCCTGCATCCGTTAGTAAACATTATCTACATATATGATATGATGTAAAACATCATTTGTCAGTTGATGGAATAAATATGGATTTGGATATGTTTGATTTCGGCCTCACGGCCTCGGAGGATTGTGATTTAGGAGATACGGATTCTTTATATAGTGACTCTTCTTTAGATATTTTTGATTCAGGTATTTATTTATAACAAAAAGTAATTAAAAATACTCAAAATCAAAAATTTAAAGATTTAAAAAGCCTAGTTCGCCAAAATATATTTATTTAACAATTGAAAATATGATAGAAAGTTTTGAATGTAAACAATTTCACCCTTTTCATGTTTCTTCACTTCCGTAAGTAAACAGAATTTGCCAATATTGACAGTCTGATTATGAATTTAAGGACAACTTCTTCATTTATTTAACAATACGTATTCAAACATTTATTCATTTACAAAACTACGTGATGGTGAATATACCTGACCTCGTCTAATCTTGATTATAGGTTTAATTTCACGGTTAAGGGTACACTATAAACAGGGACAGTGTTCTATTGAACATTTCCAGTAGAACAATTCAAAGTAAACATAAATCGTTCACTTATTTTAACTGAGGTTATTCGTCTTATTTATATTTGTGCAAAAACCTGTAGCCAAATTTCTATGCTGTAGTTCTGTTTGGAATACGCCTACCCTGATATCAGGTTTCCTGATTGACGTTGTTGCTATAGTGACTAATTTAATCGGGCCACCGTATGAATAACGATATATTCACGAGGTCGACACTAGCAACCAATGAGAGATAGGCAATGAACCATTAACGCACTCTTTAAAAATAATACTGTAATGAAGTGTATTAGACTGAAGTATACAATATCAAAACACCTTTATAATTTGTGTCTTTTTAGTGCACTACCGTTCACCTGGGAATAGTTCCGGAGTTCCTGCGTTTCATCCAGATCTTTCAATGTTACACGACCAACCACCAACGTCATCGGTCGGATCCCCTACCCCCGGGGCAATGATTCCGTCCTTTGGATTTACACAGGAACAAGTTGCGTGTGTGTGCGAAGTTTTGCAACAAGGTGGAAACATTGACAGATTAGCTAGGTTTTTATGGTCACTCCCTGCTTGTGAACATTTACATAAAAATGAAAGTGTGCTGAAAGCCAAGGCAGTGGTGGCCTTCCACAGAGGAAACTTCAAAGAACTTTATAAAATTATGGAAAGTAACAATTTTTCACCTCACAATCATCCAAAGTTGCAGGCATTATGGCTCAAAGCACATTATATTGAAGCGGAAAAGTTAAGAGGTAGACCTTTAGGCGCTGTTGGAAAATACCGTGTGAGAAGGAAATTCCCACTTCCTAGAACAATATGGGACGGGGAAGAAACCAGTTATTGTTTCAAAGAAAAATCTAGAACTGTTCTTAGGGAGTGGTATGCTCATAATCCATACCCATCACCTCGAGAAAAGAGAGAGTTGGCCGAAGGGACGGGATTAACAACAACACAAGTTAGTAATTGGTTCAAAAACCGACGACAAAGGGATAGGGCATCAGAAACTAAAGACAGAGGTGATCGGTAAGTTTAAAACTTTCATATATTTACAGTGTAATGTTACTAAGATATAGTTTCATATTCTTTGTCTCAAGTTCCAAGATGGAGTCTAGTTTATCGCCTGTTTTGTTGATGTAAATTGATACGAGAGGGAGGCGGTGTCAGATTACATTAACGTTCTAGCGATACCGGCTTGTTTTTGTTGGCAGAAACACAGAATTCTTTATTTACGCTATAATGAGATGATACACGCCAATTAAATTTTACATAATCATGTGTTAGTTGTATTTGAGAACACTTCATTGAAATAAAATATTTTTCAAGTTTTGTATCGACTTCTACGGATTTTCTGTATAATGACTGGTTTGAAATAATATATAGTGTCAACCCATTGTCAAGTTAAAATTAAACAAACATTTAATTTTGTAAGTGAAATTTGAGACAGTCCTTCGAACAATTGTCTGGCGGTCACCTGCCTCCGAGATCACCTTTAATTATAGTTTAGTTCAGTGTATTGTACTACAAATATCCGTGAAAAATGGCACTTTTTAGAAACGCAATTGTTTACGGGGAAAATATTTTTCAAATATTAGATAATAACACCCAAGAAATATGGATGTCTTCTATGCTTTTCAATTATTTTTTGTATTTGACACATATACATGCACATGTTTCTTTACTAACGAAAAATTTGAGTACAAACGGTTAAACGATTTAAATTCAACTTGTTGCAATATTTTTTTTAATAAATGTATATTTTTTTTCAGTTCAAAAAGTGCACATGGTGATCTACAATTATATACGTGATCACTTCATTTTAATATTTATATATATATATATATACAGATTGGGAAAGTTCAAAGGTCGTCTTAAAATTATTTTAAAAAAGTTTTAAACTCTTTATTATAATTTTTGCTTTTGATAACAACAATTTTTCAATAAATACCAATTATATATAAAAAAAAAATGGTAAAGAAAAAATAAAAGTTTGAATAAAAATGTAAAATCATTTTAGATAGGTGACAAAAATTATATGAATAAATACAGAGACATATAATATAATTTAGTATATATGTCTCTGATAAATATAAGAGAAACAAATAAACATTTATTCATTTTAATAAGGGTCACTACACCTAATTATTTAATTTTACTTAATTATTGAAATAGAATAATTAGAATTGAAAATAATTATTTTGAAATTGAATACATATATAATGAAGGTATAAATGTGAAGTTAGATAGCTAAAATGTCATCGGTTTTAGATAAATAAATAAGATAAATATGTGTATAATCTTGTTGAATGTTTGTGTAACATGTAAATACCATTACATAAGATTCACTCTCATTCCGCTGCACTTTTAAGTTACAGCACTTTAAGACTATCCTAATCACATTATGTAATGCTGTTTATCATCAAGTTGGGTGTGAGTATAATTCTAATACTGTTTTCGTCTCACATTCAAAGCATCAATCAAAATATTTAACCCATTTTTTTTCTTTACTTTTGATACAATTTTCATTTTCTCATTATCTATTTTTGTCTCAAAATAGTACTAATCAATATGAACTGTTTCCTTAGTGAAACAAAATGTGCATGTACATGTATCAACCAATTATTCATAAATTTTGTTAATCTTTAACTGTCACGTGAAAACTATATACAAATAATTTAAGAAAGACTTCCGGTCCCATGTGGATTTGCCTTTATTACATCATTCCTAATCCGCGACTAAATTCGTATCACTCCCCTGCGTCTTGAAGAATCCGTTTTTTAGTACCCAACCCTCCCCCTTTATTTCAATTACTGCAATAACAAAAGGGTTCATAGAAAACCAACAAAATAAGTCCAGGAGACGGAGGTACAAGAAATACAATTCATGAAATGCTTACAGTTGTTGAAATCCAGCTCAAAGATGAAGTCTGCTGATATCACAACTCATGAACTCATATATTTCATACAAAAATATCGTGAACAGGTCAAAAACACGCGGCTGAGTAAAAAACAGGTTTACATTTAAATGATTTGATTGCTTTATAAATGATACTACCAAAAAGCACTGTGAAATACCACTTTTTATGTAACCAGGTATTCCTGTGATAAATCTTATTACATGTTTTCAATCTGATTAAAATACAGGTCATGTGTCAACGCTTTGTTTACAAGGATCTGACATCACTCCGTTCAACTTTCTGTTCTGTTAATTTCACACCAGCCAATGAAAATCCAGCCTACAAATTTTGAATGTGTATCATTACGACAAAACCAGAAGATCCCGAAAGATTTTTAAAACCGAAAGTAGAAAGAAGCATTACCAGATCCTTGTAAGCGTGGACCAAGGATCTTGATTTTAATCAGATTGTGTTTATTTGTGATTGATATGGTAAAGTTTTGACATATTAATGATACATGACGCTGTATCCCTTTTGTCCAGTAAGGTTGTTTATGGCATAGTATTTCATCATAAAGTTAATGCTACTATCATAAAGCTCGACACTAACAAGACAATTGAAAAGCATAACAAATTACAAGGATTGCTGTCTCGCCGATATATATCCGATAACTTTCTAGATTCAGACAGTCGGAATGTTGAAATTTTTACATTTAACCACGTTAACTGGACATTCCTGCAATAGCACTGCTGGAGCACCTTAGATCACCCCCAGTTTTTGGTGGGGTTCGTGTTGCTTAGTCTTTGGTTTTCTATGTTGTGTCATCTGTACTATTATTTGTGTGTTTGTCTTTTTATTTTTGGCCATGGCGTTGTCAGTTTGCTTTCGATCTATGAGTTTGACTGTCCCTCTGGTATCTTTCGTCCCTCTTTTGTAAGTCAAGGTTGTTCTAGTAGTTGTATTGACTGTAGATTAGCGTCACTGATGATACATATTTTGTAAGATTGTCATTAAAAGAGTAAGAAGATACCAAGAGGGTGAACAAAATCATAAGTTTTAAGATGGACTAACATTTGCAAAAAGAAAAATAATTCATTAATCACACCATACAGAATCTTAAAGGTTGAGCAACTAGACTAAAACAATGGGTTGAACTCGGTTGTTCCGGAAGAGGTAGTAGTTTCTTATATCTCATTTCGTAATGATGCTACGATTAAACTGAAAAATTAGTAGCAATGCATTCAATAAGTGAAAGGAAAAATGTTCTAAATTGAACCCAACTGTTGTTTGAATTTTCGCTTTGATTCTATTGTCAATAGTACATTCATGGTAGAAATTAGGTTAACTTTGTTTTCTTTTTTCAGTGATCCGCATTGTTCGCAAAGCAGTCAGGAATCAAATCAAGGATCTCCACAGAGTGATAATAAAGACGGTGATATTAGCAGTGATGACACATTTACAGCACACACAAAAATAGAACCACCAGACGAACACACCCAAGGCTCTATATATACCAATCTACAAAAGTCTTTGCCTGACAATCCTATGTTAATGGCGGGAAATCAAAATCGACTTTCGAACGATCATGTTAGCAATATGTTTCAAAATTTTCAAACTTTGTGACCTTAACGATGTAGTGTTTTGTTGTAAAGCTACTGACCAAAGACAAAAACATCCTGGAGTTCGGTGCAAGTGACAAATATATTCAGGCAACACGGTGCCGACTGCTTGCCATACATGACGTTTATATAAAAACTGCAATGATATTCCATATTTTGGTGCATTTTATGATTTGTCTTATTTTGCATAATATTAGAACTTCAGGTCAATTACACTGCATCTAACTTTACCATTGAAAGTTATTTTTTTGATAAAGGATCAACGCGTTTTTAGATGCATCTTTCCTGACTTTTCTTAGAGTTAAGCTAGAACGAATTCCTATTACCCTTGTATTGCTCTATCAAGTTACATTTCAAATGGAACATATTCTTATCAGCTATGCCTTAAAGAAAAAGAAAAACTCGTCTAATAACACTATTATTACGAGCGTCAAATTGAAAAATCTGCTTCCTTGTTAATCATAAATCATATAACGAACTCTCAATGGTATTTTTAAACGCCTTGTAATTATCAACCATTCTGTCGTATGTGTATCTGCTATGACTGTTGTGAATGTTTTGCACAAATGTGTACTTTTCCTGTTTCTCTCCTACATTCTTCATAACATACACATATCCTGTTTGTTAGTATGACAAGAATACCATTCATCACACCTATATTGTAAGACCCCATCAATCATCACAATAATCTTTAAAATTCGCATATTTTTAACCAAAATTCCGATCGTCCATGATAAGACACTAAGAAATTGTTCCTTATTTATACTGTTCTGCTTTGTTTACAATTACAATTTGACTTTTAAGTGAATGAAAAGCTGATGAAATCTAAACAAAAATGTCATAATTGTGAAAAGTAATAATCGAGAAAACGGTTGTCTGGTGTCTCATCTCATAGTCTTGGAGAGTGTAATAAGTACGATGTAAATATAGCAGGATATATATCGGCAACACGGTAAATAAATGATTTAGTGTAGAACATACTATATTTACTAATTAATGCTACATTGCAACTTAATTTTTGACACCAGTTAATCTTTTTCTCCATTACCACTTTCAATATAGTGCTATACTGAATACATATCCTTGTTTGTCTGTGGGTTCTGTACTAAGACGATGATATAAGGTCTCTTCCGAAATGTTCCGAAGTATTCTTTTTTTATAAGTAATAACTTAAAAAACCTACTTAACTATTTTAGGTGACTATGCAAAACATTTGTCCAGCTTCATTTATTTACTAGATATAAATATTATTTATATGTTGACCGATAATAAATAAAAATTAAACATTGTTTATGAATTTGATGTTAGTAAACATAAGTGCACATAGTACTATATTTGTCGTCGTGAATTTTTATGTACAATTGGTGCATTGATTGATTGTTGATTGCTCAACATCTAGTCGCAAATAGTTCATGCATATTCAGATTGAGAACAATTTTATCATTATTAAGTATGGTGGATAGAAACAGAAATTTAAAAGGTAGGGTCTGAAAAATAAGTCGACCGGGATGAAGGACGGGTAATTTCTAGGCCGCTAATAGGAAAACTGGTTGAGGGAAAAATTTAGCCTTGCAACAGGTAACCTACGAGTTGTTGGGGGATTTTGTAAAGTGAAAGAGTTTGTCACTCCGATGCACTGGTTTTTATGTCCCAATTATACCAGACGTGACTACATAATTATACTTCCGGACGCCTCTTGTGGGTGTTTACTGTTGGAGAAGTCCAGATTACCTTATTTCTAAGTCCAAGTCAACCTTAGGGTAGCAATGACAAGTGGACACCAAAGAAACAACTATTGATTGACAAGTCTTAGCTCTAGTGATCATGTCGGAGACAAATGCAGACACGGCTCTGGACATTTTTTATATCGTGCTGAAACATAACAAACCATACGCATGAAATATTGTTTATATCCTACCACATTTTGTCCCTGTACAAAGCCCGGCTATCTTGACCGTGCGTTGTTGTTTTTTGTATCATTCTGGAGAAGTCGGGGTGTTGGTAGTTTGTGTGATCTGTTGTACTATGTAATTTTTGTTTGCTAATTTTTGGTACAATCATGTATTATTCTCTAAGCTTACAAAGGAAGCTATCAAACCAATGGTTCCAAGTAGAAGAGTTGAAATCATTCCTTCTAAAATTTTACAGACGCCATCACGAGTTGGTTGACCATTATCCATTTCACAGATGAAAACGGATAGGTTTGTCTAATTGTCGTAACAAAAATTCCGTCCTCTTATCCTCGAATGTGACAGCCACATAGAGATTTACCACCGAATTTATGACAACCCCAAAGAGATTTACCACCGAATTTGTGACAACCCCAAAGAGATTTACCACCGAATTTGTGACAAACCCAAAGAGATTTACCACCGAATTTGTGACAACCCCAAATAGATTTACCACCGAATTTGTGACAACCCCCAAAGAGATTTACCACCGAATTTGTACTTACATAAGCAACACGACGGTTGACAAATGAGGAGCTGTATCTGCGTTGGTTTCCGGATCACACGATATCGCCTTCGATTTTTGGCGGTGCTTTTCGTGATGCTCAGTCTTTAGTTTTCAGTGTGTTTTTGCAGACTGTCGTTTTTGTTTTTTGTCATGGTTTTGTCAGTTTTTATCCCATTGGTATCTTCCGCCTCTCTTTTAGCCCAATAGGTCTGAGGAAGTTTTTACTTTCAAAAAGTATTCAATTTCAATCTTTAGAATTAATTCCCATAATTTGATCTTTGGTTGGTTTTATATTTAGCCGTCATTTTGTTATTGGGGGTATGAAATTTCTCCTAATCTTTTACTATACTGATGAAGTGATTTTATTTATAGTACAATTAACATGTCATATGCTTTTAGAGAGTGAAGATTGAATCTGAGATAAAATTCTAATTTCAGAATAAATTATATCCCGTTTTATAGTATATAGATTTCTTCGTTGGTGGCGCCTCAGACGTATTTTATAGCATTTTACAATTTGAAATTAAAAGTGCTGAAAATGGAATTGTAACACAATCTAAAATAATTATCTTTTATGGACGTTAATGTTAAATTTTCATTTCCAATGATCGATATATTCGCCAAAAGAGTTACAATTTTATATGGTTTTAATGTTTAAAATTATTTAAGATTTAAAGTTTTTTTCCACTTAGCAGAGGCTCTTTCTATTTGATACCATTCTATCTTGTTAATGATTCGCACATTTTACTAATCCAATGTAAACAATAAAAATAGATGAATAAACCGGATATTCTCGTTCAAAGCCGCTCGACAAGCTGTTAAACGTTTACATAGGTTTACTATTTCAAAATATTCTACTGTACACACGTGAATGTTTGACAAGGGAAACACGATATCGTTGAAGAACAAGATGGTGGTCGGCGTAAAATCTTGATTTAATCAAAGATAGACGAATTATGACACGTATATATGCGATAAAGTTTGTCAGACAAATAATAATTCAAACTAGTAAACTATAGACCTTTTTATAAAAAAACTCAGAATTGCCAGAAACTGATTGCAATTTTCCCATCTATTATGAACACTTGGTTTATTTATTGTAACAAACAAGAAAATAGTTGGCCACCATCATAATTACAGCTAGGCGTCAGGTTTCACCAGCGAAGATCGCTTATCTTAATTGCAATACAAGTATGTTATGGTATGTAAAATCTGACAGTTTGTTACAACGCAAGGAAACATGATATAATTACATCCCATCTGTCTTCACTGCCAAATCATACAAGCTACTGTAATATTGTAAATTCTCTACGTCCGCTACGATCATGTCTGTGTCCAGTGCAATGTTATAGTCTGTTTCTTATTTCATCTAGGGTGATGGTGATCATTTTAATTTATTTGTAACGCATGTTACTACTCTTCCGTAACGATGCGTTTTATACTAAAACAACAAAACACAGAAATAGACAATAATTGAGACAAATTTCACTGGGTTATAGTCAAATATCATGCTGACAAACCTGATGTCATATCCACCATGCTCCATTTTCAATTCCGACGGCGATTTGTTATTCTGTCTGTGCTTCGTTGTTTTCAAGTAATTCTTTGGAATTATAAGGCAACGAAGAGACCAAAGCGAGTCCGCGAAATTCATATTTTCTAACAGGTCTTTAAAGGAACGATCGATTAAATATGAATTTCTATTAACAAGATTGATAGCAGAAAAAAAAACTGATATTCGGCAATAAAATTTTATATAAACAAGTGGTGATGTTTTACTTTTGACTCTTTTTTCAATACAAATTTGGTGCAAAATTAATTGAGTTGTGTAGGCTAACGTTTGACGTGGGTGAGTTCAAAGAACTTAACATCAGTTTGGTATGGCACTATCATGCTGTTTTGTGACCAGTATTTTACTCATCATTTCTTCGAACTTGCCTGATAGTATCTCTTCTGAAAGACGGGCGGGAATATCTGCTATTACGAACAGACGACATCAACGATGAAAACTTGGTACTGTCAGTTCTAATATTTGTAATTGACATTTGAGTTTCCCAGTGCACGTGTAATTCCATTGATTAATTGTACATATAATTATAGATGTTCCATGTGGAATTCTCAAATCAATTTCCAACGCTACAATTAAATTCGCAGGTATTTGCTAACATTTACACATAAAATGGCAGATCGACCATTAGCAGACGTCTTCTAATTCCTTAATTTAATTCTTTGTCACAGCTTATCTGATGAAATTGGTTAAAGATTTGCCAGTTAAGCGTGGTTAACTAAGTTTAATAGAAAATTGAGAATGATCGACCATTGCTTGTATCTTCAGTTGTTATAGTGTTTGACTTCACTGCTATTAGACAGTTTATTGAAAAATTGTTTATCTTTTTAAAAACGAAATGAAATGGGGTGGACGTGCAGGAGACAAACATCTCATTGTAAGTTTCTAAACATTAAAAAGAAAATATTGTAGTTGCATCAAAAAGCTATTGTCGTCTTCGTATTTTTTTAGCACTATTACTTATTTATGTGCAATAACCTAGATAAGCTATTTTGAGCGGTTACAAAAATATTTATGACAATTGTTACTTTTCCTTATGTGTATCATATTTTCGGTTGTTGCAATTTTTTCGACTGGTATATTTAGGTTTGTGTAGAGGAAATACTCTCAAATTTGAGGGCTAATCATAGTAATTTTCTGAATACCTTGCGTTTCAGTGATGAATTATTCACATATCCTCCCTTGCTCTGTTATGGCATCATTTCGCTTCCGTAGAAAAGATGAACAATTGAAAGCTCTCCACACAAGGTCAAATAAAATTTGAAAATATTTGAACAGGCACCAAAAGTAAGAATTTTCATAAATGACAAACACTAATCTAAGTACAACAGTTTATACAGTTATCTTAATTTCAAGTGGTAAATAGAGTCATCTTATGGACGAGAACAACTTAAGAATATAAACCAATTCATTGGTTCTGAAAAGCGAATGCGTACGGAAAGGGCAGATAATTTTGACAAAAAAAGTAAGGGTATTTTGGGTTATCTTGCGGGGTCGAAAAATTTGAACTTACTCAAATGGACTTTTCACAAAGAGATTTCGTAAATATTTGTAACTCAAATGCGAACAAATGTTTGAAATTAACATAAAAGTAAGTTTATACTCGCAATTTCGTATCCGAAAATAAATGGGTAAAAGTATGTGGAGAATATGTAAGATACTATTTTTAACTGCCGTATTTTACCTAGAAGTTGTTTCATTTGTCAGTTCAGGTTGCAGTCAACATCCAAACCACGTGGTTAAATGAGAAGTGCTTTTTCGAACTGATAAGTTATCAGTGGCGATGGCAATAAACATTTAAATAACTAAAAAATAGCAAGAAAATAGCAAGAGGTCAATCCCAAGCCGATGAAGTACGGACAGTGCCGGGACCGAAAGAAAAAAGGAGATGGGTAACAATTGAGTAACATGAAGACCTCTATAAACCGAGGGTGTACATAGGTGATCAGGAAGGCTAAGCACACGTGTAGGGAATTATCTCCGTATGTACTTTAATGCCGTGTAGTGCACGTTACCTTCGTAAACCCTGCAAACTATGGATGATGATTAAAACAATGTTTACATGGAAACTTTAAATTGTTTTGACTATCAAGTCCAGCTGATTTCAAGTCAGTCACATGATCGACTTTTTTCTTCCAAGACATAAATGTAGATATGAAAAAACACAATGACTACTATCAACATATTCACTGAATTAAAAAAATACCAGAATGCTTAATAAATTATTCGTTCATGTCAATCTCTATACATGCTCATTTCAACGTT